TGTGTGTGTGTGTGTGTGTGTGTGTGTATGTGTGTGTATGTGTGTGTGCCGGCCAGCGGGAGCCGCGAATGTCCGGCCCATTGGCACCTGCGACCAGGCCCAGTAACTGCCCTCGAGGTTGGGCATGGCCAGATCACATCCCCGTCCGGACGCCACGCATCCCCCGACCACGCTCGGGCTGGCTGCTGGAGCGGTGGCAGATGCGCGAGCGCGGGCTCCACCCGCTCTAGTGTGGGAAACCCCTTGCTACTGGTGCCGATGGGCTCACACACCTGCGCGGACACGCGCGCGGGCTCGGACGTACGCAGCATCCCCGACCACGCCCGGCCTCCGGGCCGTTGATATGGCTGTACGGTGGGGTCCAGGCGCCCTGTCCGCCTGGCATCGGCTCCATCCCCCCCCCCCCCTCCCGCCTCCTGAGCACCTCATATTCCCTTCCCCCTCCTTTTTTTTTCCCTCTCTCCCCCGCCTGCTCTTGGACCCTCGCCGCTTGGCAGCCGATCCCGCCGCCATGAGGTCCGACACCGACACCCACTCTTCCACCATCGCCAACCTGACCGCCTGACTAACCGACCAACCGTCTGCCACTACAGCCCCAGCGCCCGCGGGTCCGATGCCCCGGTGGTCATCCGTGAGACGGACCGCTCAACAATGGCCATCCTCAGCCACCTCCCGGCACACATCCGCAAGACCTGTGCGCTGCTTTGTCACTGCCCTGCCATGTCCACAGGCTTCACCACGCCGACATCATGCTCACACACACACACACACACACACACACACACACGCCGCCCGCTCGCGCAGACACCCAATCGGCCCAGATCATCCTCGACCCGCCGAATGGCCATCTCATTGCCCTGCACGAGGCGAATTGCCTCCTCTGGCCGTACTCCCAGGTTGGTTCCATCCTCCTCCTTCCTGCCTGCCATGACTCGTCCACCTGTCTTCCCTCAACTCACTCGCCTATTCCCCCTTGCGTGGTGGTGGCCCACCCAGCCGGTCAAGGGCCACAGGGTGTTCCATCTGCCCTTCCGTATGCCAGTTGGCGACTGTTCGCGGCCGATGGCCTGTCTGCTGGCAGGCGGCCCGGCGCCGCTGGCCCTCGTGGTCTGCTCGCCGGCCGGGGAGATTGCCCTCTGGCCGACGGTGTCCGACCCTGGGGCCGTGGAAGTCCTCCGACTGGGGGACATCCTGCGCTCCGGCGACCCGGGCCCCGGGGCCGTGGTTCATGTTTACGGGTCCTCCCTGGGGGCCTTCCTGCTGACGGCCTCCGGGCGCCTTTTCTGTCTGTCCTTATCGCGGGCGCTTTTCGTGCCAGCCATCCACCTGGATGAGGTCCGTCTAGCTGGGCCATTTGACGCGCCGGCTGTCGGCCATGCGGCGGCTGCCCCCTCGCTGGCTGCCAGTCTCATCCAGAAGGCTGCCGCTGCCTTTGGCCTGACGGCCCCCTCGACCCCGGCCACCGGAGATGACCATGCCGGCTTTGATGCCCTGGCCGCAGCGGACCCCCTCTGCCTGGGCTCCTTTGACGGCTGCCTCGGGCCCTTCCACCAGTGCGCTGCCCTAGGCAAACATCCACTCCGCTTGACATTCCCTCCCCCCCCCCCCACCCCACCCCACCCCCTTCCCTCCGCGCCCCCTCGATGCTGGCCACTGACTCCCCCACCACCGCTTGACTGCCCCTTTCGCGCGCACCCCTGTAGTGTGCTTACCTCCCTCACTCGCACGCATCTGCTGAGCTGGAATGTCTCGCCTCAGTCGCGCTCGGTGCGTCATGCCCCCAGAGGGAAGGAGGGGGGGGGCCAGGCGGCGAGGGCTGGTCCACCGCGGTCGCCCCCAGGGGCGAGAGGCACCGGGACATTGGCTTCTTTTTTTAATTTATTTCTCTCTCCACCGCGGATGCGCGCCGGCGCCGGTGCATGCACCAACGGCCCCCTGGGTGTGCGGCTTCGCGTGCGTGTGCGTGTGCCGGGATCGCACTTCCGCCCGACGTGGGGGCGGGGGGGGGGGGGGGGGTGGGCCCAATGACCCTCTCCTGTGCCCAGCTTGACTCATCTCCACTTTCCAGTTCCTCGGCGCGGTCGAGATCAAGCCGCTAATCCGCCGGGCCCTCGGTCGGCTGGAGCCCTCGGCATCGTCTCTTCCCCTTGACCATATCACCTTGCTGGACCTGCAGGCCACTCCGGGGGTGTTCCTCCTGGCCCGGGTCACTTTGCCGGCGGAGGCCCTGCTGTCGGCCCGGGCGCCGCCTGGCTTGGCCGGTGGCCCTCGGTCGGTCCTGCTGGTGGCCGGCCTGCGGCCGCTCTTGCTGGACGACGGCAGCCGGCTCAGCTGGGACACCACGGTCTGCCGGCTGGTGTGGCTGCCCGTGGAACCGAGCCCCTGTGGGCTAGAGGGGGCCTCCCTGCGCCTGGCTGTTTCCGGCACCTCGGTGGCCATCTCCTCGCCGGGCTTCGTGGCGCTGACCTCGCTCGAGGATGGTACGTGCGGGGCCGGCGAAAATGGTTTCCCCCTCCCCCGGAGCTGGTCTCTTTCCACTTTCCTGCTTCCTCCTCTGCACATGGGCATTTCTCTTTCTGACACACGCGCCCTTCCTCTCCTCCCCCGCCCCTCCCCCCGTGCTACGATGGCGCCCTGCATCCAGTTGAGGAGGACGACCAAATCATCCGCACCATGGAGGGGGATCGCTTTGCGGCGGTGGCCCTGGCGACGACTGCCCCCCCGGCTGGAACCTCCGGGACTGGAGCCCCGCCGTCGGACCTGCTGGTCTTCGCGGCCCGACATGCGTCTCTCCTGCGGCTGAGCCAGCCGGCCCTGACTCCCGTGCCGGCCGGGCACCTGATCCCGGCCGAACACCGTCGGACCCAGGCTTTCCGGACCATGCTGACCGAGTATCTGGCCATCGGGGCCAGTGCTCCGATCGCGGTGGAGATGCTTCGCCAGGATGTCGGCCCGCTGGGTCGGGGCGGGGCCACCTCGCTGGCTTTCCCGTCGACCACAGACCCGCTGTTTGAGCGCGTCATCCGGCAGATGGTGGAGGAGCTGCTTCAGCCGTCGACCCTTGCCACGCACCTGACCCCGGTGCTGCCGCTGCAGGAAGTCGGTGCGCATCTGGGCCTCCTGCAAGTCCGCCTCGGGCGACTGATCAGCGACCCGCGGCTGCGCCTGTCCGGCTCGCTGCGGTCGCACCTGCTGAAGGAGGCCGAGCGAGTGGCCATGGCGCAGGCTCTGTGGTTGGTGCTGTTTGGCCAGTCGCAGTCGCAGTCGCAGTCGCAGTCGCAGTCGCAGTCGCAGTCGCAGCCGCAGACGGCTGGGGCCCCGAGTGGTGCTCCCCTGGCCTTCGGCCCGGAGTTCGCCCTCGATGTGGAGGCCCTGCACACGGTGAAGAAAGTGCTTGGCACCTTCACGGTTAACACCTTTGCTCAGAACCCGGCGCTGGTGGCACTGGAGCGTGAGGTGCTGGTGACTGGGCCCGGTCGGGCGGCTGCTCTGACCGATGCCCGGTGTCGGTTCCTGTTGACCTACTACCCGGCGGCCCTGTTCGGTGCGCACAGCGAGGCCATTCGAAACGTCCTGGACCAGGCCCAGCAGAAGCTGCTCTCCATCTTGGACTCCCTGCCGCCGGCCAGCCAGAAGGCCCTCATGGACCCGGGCCCCTTCACCGGGCCCCTGCTGACCATTGCCCGGCCGGATTTGGCTTCGCGCTTCCTGCTGCTTACGCGCCTGGGCTTTGTACGTGTGCCAGACTCATGCGCCCGACCAGCCGTCTCTTTTCCCCCCATTCCCCCCCCCCCCCCCCCCCGGCGGCCTGGTGGCATTTCCTCTTCCCCCTTTGCCTCTTTGTCCCGCTTACGAACGGCGCTGGCCCTTGCCTCCTGTTGCTAACACGACCGCCTCCGCGTGTGGGCGGCTGCCATTGCTTCCCCGGCCCCATGGGCGCCTGCGAATGTGACCGATCGCGCGCCATGCACGCAGATCATGGCGGAAAATGCGCACGCCTTGCGTTTGGCACATGCCGACACGATTGGGTCCCTGCCGCCGATTGACTGGCCATCGACCGAGCCCTGGCTGCTGGATGTCCTGGCACAGTTGTACCTGCCGCTGGTCCGGCTAGAGGGGTACACCCCGCTGGGGCTGCTGGTGGCAGCCACATCGCGACTGCTGGATGGCATCCGTCTGCGGGGGGAGTTCTGTCGACATGCCCATGGGCTGGACTCCGAGCAGGCGACGCGCATGGCCCGCGGGTATCACCGGGCCCGGTGGGCTTTCATCAGCTCGCTGGCCTTCCATCCCGGGCCAATGCCCCTGCCTTCGGCATTGGGGGGAAGCATCTCCGGCGAGCAGGCGGCCATCAACCTGGCCGAGGTGTATGGGGACAATGTGTCACTGGTGCAGCTGGTGCTCAGTCGCCCGGGTACTTGGCCCATCCTGCGGAGCTACATGGCCAATCCGCTCTTTGGCAAGGCTTTCAGTTTCCGGCTCTTCCGCCGGCTGCTGACGGCCGGCGAGGTGGCCAGCGTTCTGCAGGGCCAGGCCGGCATGGCTCTGCCCTTCCTGGGGGAATTCTTCCAGGCCGAGGAGCAGGCCGAGTTGGAGGCCGCGCAAAGGGTCGCCGGGCGTCGCCAGCATCCGGGCCCGGCGGCCGAGCGCCCGGGCACCCAGGCGGGGGTTCCCTTTGCCGAGGCGGCCCAGGCGGCGGCGGTCCTGGCCAATCCCCCGATCGGGGAGCATTTCGTGCACTCCGATGACCTGGTGTCCATCTGGCGAAACATGTGTCTGCCCTTCACCGGCATGGGAGGAACCACGCTGCCGGCCGAGCCCGGGCTCGATGAGCCGGATGATGGTTGTGCGGCCCCCACGCAACCGGGTCAAGCCCCGGGCATGACGGCTTCGCTGGCTTGGCTGGTGGATCTGGATGATGGCCCGATGGAGCAGGCCTCGGTCGAAGAGCCGCCGCAGGGGCTGTGCACCCCGCGCGGACCGGTGCGCGGCTGCCTGCGGCTGCTGGCCACGGTGGCCCGGAGCTCGACCTTCCTGGGCAAGGCCTGGCCGCAGCAGACACACACGCCCACCCATGTGGAGCAGCAGGCGCGCCTGCTGGCCCTGGCCCGACTGGCCATTCGCTCGATTCCACAGGAGACGCAGGCTAACACGAACTCCGGTACGCATGACAGGGCCACGGTGGCAGAATGCAGCCGAGTCGTGGCTCCGGACTTGATGGG